CGTCACACTTGGCTGTCAAAGTTGTCAACCAAAAGAATAACCACGGTATCTACCGATAAACAATCATTCCAGGCTGAAAATCGCCTTATGTCGTTTCTCCCTGTTCACTTACAAGTGTCTGTTTTTTTTTTTTTTTTAATTCAAAATAGACGTCGTAACTACGAGGGATGGCGTTTAAAATTAAGAAGGTACATTTTCTAATTTTTTTCTAAAAATTCATAAGCAAATTTTGTAGGCAGGCAACTTTATTGCAATAAACTACAACCATAACTCAGCGCAGTGCTTTATTTTTTAAAATACCATCATAATAAAGTAGGTACATATGTATGGTCGAGGGTATGATCTATGGTATGTAGGTACGCATGTTTAATGTATCCTACCTTGGATCGATTATGTACGGGTTTTCGGATCAAAAATCAAAAGGTGGCAACCCTAATGAATACACAGTGTGGATTAATCCTTCCAATAGAATTCGCTATAAAACAACGCTTTTTTAGATTTGTTTGCATCTTCCTCTTTGCCTATTATGGGCACTTTCCAAAATTCACCGGTTTCCGAACCGGTCCGATACCGGTTTAGTGAAATACTCACCAAACCGTTCCTAAATGTACCAACTTTTTACCGGTTGAACCAAATCGTCCGTTCCAAAATTGACCGGAATGTTTAGCTGTTTGAAACCGGTGGCGGTGAGAAGGGGCACTTTCCAAATTTCACCGATAAATTGACCGGTTAAATAAACCGAACCAGTAGCTGTCAAAATACTCCGGTAAAAGTTAGGTGTAAGTCCGATTACAATATTTTTCTGATGCATTTTGGAACGCTTTGGTGTGTTAAAGTTTAGTTGTGATGGTTGTGTTGCAACAATTTAACGAACGAAGCAATTGATGTACGTCAAAAAAAAAGTGTCAAAAAATCTCGAACCGAAAAAACCGACAAAAATTCCCGGTGGATCCGGTGCCTCACCGGTTTCAAACAGCTGGATCATTCCGGTGAATTTTGGAACAGACGATGTAGTTCAACCGGTAAAAAGTCGGTATATTTTGGAACGGTTTGGTGAGTAAACTATTAAACCGGTATCGCACCGGTTCAGAAAACGGTGAATTTTGGAAAGTGCCCATATCGAATCCACCGGGAATTTTTGTCGGTTCTTCTTTCGGAGATTTTATGACACTTTCGTTTTGACGTACATTTTTAGGTTTAAAGTCAGGCCTATAGTTTATTACAGCAACGCGAGATGTCAATGCTGTCGCCCCTAAAGTGTGCCCTAACTTGACTGTCAAAAAAAAATAGAAATCTTCATTTGGTTAAATTGTGTGATGGAACGTTTTTTCTTTTTTTGGCGGAAATTCGAAGTATTATTCTGTTTTACATAAACAGGGTTGTAGTTTCGACCAACGCAAATAATTTTGAACGTTCATCCGTCGGATTTTTTTCTAAACAGTGTAGCTACGGGCGTATTTCCAACTATTTTTGTAGTAGCGAGAAAACTACAAGTTCAAAAAATTTGAAAAAAATATATGTCGCGTAGAATTGCAATAGTAGTTCGTAATAAAAATAATGGGAAACTTCATCTATTCGTTTTGAAATAAATGGTGAAAAACTACTTTTTTTTTCAGTTTTTGCGATATAACTCAAAAATGGCGAGTCAAATTTGCTTAAAAAAATTATGGATTAAAGTATATCGATAACCATAAAACAATTATTTTTTTTGGAATTTTTGAACACAAGGTTCAGAAAATAGGGGTTGACTTTAAACCTTAAAGAAAATTAATTTATCATCATAATTGTAAATAATATTGTTTTTTTTTCAAGATAATTCCCCAAGTCAAAAATTTAGTAACTCTGTTGGCAACACAAGCCTTTTCCACATATAAAAATTAAAAGCATTGACAATTTTACATTGTATTGCTAACATAATATCATTTTGATTTTTATCTTAAAAAAAAAACAGACTTTAATTTCTTAACGTTTTGTTTCTTAACTACGACCGCTGGCGCAAAACGCTAACGACACTGTTGATAACGTCGGCAACGGTGCAAAACCATATGAACTTGATTCCAAAAATCGAGGCCGATGAGCAATCTTGTAGTTGTGTGTATTATCCTTCGTATAGCCTCGCCAAATTCAGAAATGCGCTTTCCAACGCTCTGTTTTTAGAGTAGCTGTTCTACTTCGGTAATTGCATCTCCGAGCAAAAAGAGCATATTTTGACGGACGTCACGTGATCACTTATATTTTTTCACCAGTCGAGTCACGTGACATCTGTCAAATTTTGCTAATTTTGCTCTAGGATGATACCATTGGTTTTTGCTTTGTTCTGTTTTTTGCTTTGTAATGTTATTTAAACTGCAGGTAATGTCTAATTTGATACAATATAAATTTAATGCAATGCAAACTTTCAAAAAAATTACTCAAATTTCAAATTTTCTGTTGTCTACATTGTCTACATAGTTTACATAGTCTACATGGAAAAAAGTGGATGTAAACAATACGTAGACAACGAGTAGACAAACCGCGTAAAGTAGATTTCATAGTCTACGGCACATCCCTGGTACAAACACAGTGCAAGCAGGTTTCCGCTTACCGGTAACCAGCGCCGACTCGCGCCTTTAAGCGCGAAAAATGAATGCATCATGTTTTTAAATCGGCTAGAACACAGTAAAAAGCAGTTACTCTAGCTATTTGTTACTGTGTACTAGCCGATTTGAAAACATGCAAACATTTTTCGCGCTTATAAGCGCGAGTCGGCGCCGGTTACTGGTAAGCGGGAACCTGCTTGCACTGTGTTGGTACACTCAGAAACTTGTCAGATTTTATGATCGGAGTCGGATCGGAAGGATGCGATAGGTGTGTCCCGGCCTTAAGGAGTAGAGTCCGCGTCAAGAGAAGGGAGAGTTCTCATGAGCGTAATTTGACATTTCTGGCGTAATCACGTGACAAAATGGTTGGATTTCATTGGTAAAATATTCACCATGCTGGAGATTTTACAAATCAAATTTCACCATATTATCACGTGATTACTCGCCCTTAGGGCGAATTCTCATGAGCGTAAGTTGACATTTCGGGCGTAATCACGTGATAAAATGGTTGGGTTTTATTGGTAAAATATTTGTTATGTTGGATAATTTACCAATCAAATTATACTATATTATCACGTGATTACGCCAGAAATGTCAACTTACGCTCATGAGAATTCTCCCTAAAGAGTACGGTGACGTCAATTGCGCACAAACCCAATTTTGAAGACTGACGTAGGGTGCATGTTATTTATTTCTTACCTTCACGTAGGCTGTTTGAATAGCTGACGTCGTTATGACGTCGGAAATAGTGACACACCAATATGGCGGCAATTATCAAAAACGAGGCCGATAAGCATTGAGCCGATAAGCAATCCTGTAGGTATGTGTGTATCATCCAGGCTACGAATAGCCAGGATTTGTGAACCTATTTGCAAACGCGTTCGTAGCCCCGTCCAAAATGCATTTCGATGCTCGTTGGTTCCGTTGTAATCGCTGCTCTATTTATTCTTTGGCGTTATGTTCAAGTCTTTACGAAGCTTAACAACAATTCCATGAAATATGGGTGTCGATCCGGTTCCGGTCTGCAAAAAAAAATGGTTCCGTTCCGGTTTTAAGTTCAATATCGTTCCGGTCCGGGCCTTTTTCAAAAATAAACAAGCTATAAGGCTTTTTACGTTATATTTAGGATGACGTCACATTTAGTAAATTTCTGCTGCCAACCTAACAAAACTAAAAGTACTTTTCAACGCATTTAAAGTAGGGCAATTTCAGATGTTTTTGGTTGGCAACGGCGCGCGACGTTGCATGATTTATATCGATTTTTATAAACATTTTCAAATAATGCGTGTCGATTCATTTCGTTATTTTAAGCTGTCAGTCGTCTTGATAAATTATTATTAACTATTTTGTATAATTCTAATTAAGTGTCAAAAATACGTTACAGTTAGAAAAAAGTTCTTTCAAGAATTCAGTACTTCTTCGTAACGTAAACTTACTCATAAAATGCCAGCAGGTTTGTCGGAATCGGCCTCAGGAAAAGGTAGTATACATAATACGGTATTTCCAGCAGGAACGCGGTCCGGGCCTTTTTCAAAATTAAACAAGCTACTACCTGAGCTGCTTTCCCTGTATGCACATTGGCTCGCTCTAGAGCACCCCGAGTGCCACGCACTAGATTTGTACCGTTCCAGTATCATCCGTGCGTTCGGTAATTTGATCTGAGTTCTCCGAGCTTGAATTTACCGTTCGTTTATTTGAAAAGTGTACTCGGTGCAAGCTCATTCGCGTTCGTTTATTGAAATTTTGGGCTCTCCGATACAGCGTTCAATTGCTCTGTTCGCTCGTTGGTCAGGTGATTACTGCTCTATTCGGCACGCTCTGCTTTTTGAGCAAAATACCGAACGCAAGGCTTGACGTGTGACGTTTGTCCGTACGTATAGCTCGGGAGCTCAACGCTCCGAGTAGCTCCGAGCGTCACACTGGAAAGCGGCTCTGAGCGCACAGCAGAGTAACGTTACATTCTTTTTTCATAAGCTCCGGAGCTGTTCGTTCGTTCGGAGTCATTCAAAGTATTTCACAAGAAGCTTTTTTTAAATCCAAGTGCTATTTGTTATTGACATGCATACTTTGCTTGAATCAATTTTCCCAAATTACTTCGGTTTCGAGTTTCATCATAAACCTTCGTGTCAAGTTGTTTCCTCAAAACTACGTCATTAGAGTGTCTAGCTAGTGTAATCGGTTTTTAACGCAACTGCTGTTGCCGTTGCCTTGTTCTAGTTGCGCTCGTTTATTTGATCTGTGCGCACTGTGCGCTCGAAATTGTTCGGAGCTTTCCGAGTCGCTTGATTCACCACGCTCCATCTTGTTTCGACTTTCGAGCAAACTGAATTCGGTAGTGACGTCATTGATACTGATGTTTGTCAGCACCAGCAGATTATTACATTGATCACAACATTGATCATTCACAATCACAAATCACAGGGCACCTCCAAATTTAAAATCAGAGCAATTCCACAAAACCAATCAAAAACGCTTATTTTGCCTGAAAGAAAAGAAAGAAATGTTGGAAGAGGATGGAGCATGCGTTGAAGAAGTGAAAGAAGTTGGCCGATAACAGCGCTGCCAGCAGCCAAGTGAGCATTTTTGGAACCTTTTCAAGAACGACGGTAGCCCGACGGTACTCCGATGAAATAGTGTGATGCTAAAAATGCCAGTTTCATTAGTGTGTTTTGTACCCGTATCATTTTTGCCTCACGCATTTTTAATTTTCAAAATAAAAGTTGGTAACTAGTGAAATTCAATCTCCTCAATCCAAGGGCCGTTTTTCACTACCCGTATCAGCTATCGCCGGTGTTCGGGGGTATAAATACCTAATAATAATAAACTAAAATTATGGTGCTAGCCGAGAAAAACGACAACTCTAGAAATGGACGTAGAAGTCGAGGGCCAAGTCCCAATGGGCACGTACAGGCAGAATCTTCGAGCGAGGATGAAAGTCCAGGTGAGTTTAGTTGCATTGACCTAATTTTTTGAAATAAAACATCAAATTTATCTTATAAACCACAAGGGGCGTGTAGAGCATGTTTTTAGGGCCCTTCAAGATTTGGGGGTTAGTTTGCAGCCTCCACTAACCCAAGGGGCTTGTTTGAATGTTTTGACTATTGAAATAAAAGTCCTTTTTTAAATCATGTTTTACTTTGATAAAGTCTTTCGGGAGGCCCACAAAGCATGATTTTTTGGGAGGGGGGCATCCATATGAGTCTTCCAATAAAGCGTTGTAGCTATTTAAGTCCAAAAAGGTTACAAAGAAGATACTTAAGTCTTTAATTTTCCAGTTCCAGTAGATAAAATTCGAGTAGGTAGAGATTACCAAGCCACATGTCCAGAATTACAACCAGAAGCTCAGAGAAAACCGGAATTATTAGCCGATAGAGCTCTCTTAGTTTGGTCACCAACAGAATCCATACCCGATTCAAAATGTAATAATTTTATCATATTCACTTTAATTCTCAAAAAAGCTAATTTTTGATTTACATTACAGTGGAAGATTATATTGTGTTGGCCAAAGACAAATATGGCTACAATGGTGAGCAAGCGCTGGGCATGTTGTTCTGGCACAAACACGATCTGGACAGGGCCGTTATGGATTTGGCCAATTTTACACCATTTCCAGATGAATGGTCTGTTGAGGACAAGGTGTTGTTTGAACAGGCGTTTCAGTTCCATGGCAAGAGTTTCCACAGGATACGTCAAATGGTAACTTGAAAACAATTTACAATTTTCTGTATTAAATGTTTTAATTTTCAGTTGCCAGATAAAAGTATTGCTAGTTTGGTGAAGTATTATTACAGTTGGAAGAAAACTAGAACTCGGACAAGCCTGATGGATAAACAGGCTAGAAAACTGAATGGACCCAAGGAAGATGGAACTGAGGATGGTGAAGCACGTGCTTCCAATGATGAATCCGACCATGATGAGAAGGTCAGTGACATTCTTATTTTGACTTATTTGTTAGTAAAATGTCTAGATTTTCCAGCATCCATAAAGAGGCAATAATTTTTTTTAACATGGATTCATAAAATCTTTGTAAATGAGAATTACCAAATAAGTAAAAATTGATTAGTAATTAAGTAATTACAGAAATACCTAAACCTTTATATTCTTGCAAGAAATTATGTAAGTAGGTCATATTTGTTTCAAAATAGTTACTATAAAAATATGTAGGTGGGCTCTTAAGCCTGGTCCAGACTATATAACAAAACCAATTAGAGCAGTATGCAATAATCTTAAGATCGTTATTTGTTGCAATTGTGTGGTTTTTTAAAAGATCTCAAAATCAATCTGTAAAAGTAAAGCTGTCTCATATCATATCCATTACTCCATTCAAACGGTACAAAGAATCAGTGGGAAAGAGCGGGAAAGAGCCTGTTCCTAGAGAAAATATTATCTTCAGCTAAGGTTTCTTCCACCTGCTATAGTAATTTTGTTCAGCTATACCATCTGCAGTGTATTACCGGGCTTCTTGTTTTGATAAGTGGAAATACACCTCTTTTTGTTTTTTTCCGTTATGCCCAATCCTCTCACCTGCCCAACTCATCTATTATCCTAGATATCTTCATACCCTATTATCCTAATCCCAACACAACCCATATCTGTAAACACAATACCCTTTCTTCCAAATCCTTGTTAATTAATTCACTCCCTCTGTCAATATTTTGTTCATCTTTTCATTTGGCTTTTAACATGTGTATTAAACATACCACTCCAACTAATAATACTACAAATAAAATGACTGGACTAATGCAAAATACAAAATCTTCAATTGACAGAAATTTCTTCAGATATCTAAACTTTGACAAGATGCTCCTCGTATTCTCAATATATTTAACATGTAAGTAAATCATGAAGACTTATCTCTTCCTACACATAAGCATTTATACGACTTTGTATTCTGTATCAAGCAAGTGTCCACTTTTACACCTTGGATATTTTAAGCGGCCTGCTCATGACTTGAACAAAATGCATTTAGTAATCTCAAAATTTATGGTTAGATTATGATCTAAACACTTACTTATTTTATCAAACTCTCACTTAGCCTGAAATACAACTGTCCCAGGTCTTGCCTTCAAATACCACAACAGTATCTGCGGAGGACAGTATCTACCCACTCTTGTCCATCCTCAATAAGTCCATTGATATAGAGGACAATTTATTATGTCACTCAAATCGTTGATTCTCAAATAGCTTTCCATGATGCCAAATATTTTCGCTCTCAGGCGGTATCTCTCTATTTTTTCTAATAATAACTTGGTCAGGTTGACAAAGACAAATGTAAGACTATTTTCATCAATATTTTCATACAGTCGTGATTCCAGCCTAGCTATTGCATCCTCTGTCGACCTGCCTTCCATGAAACCACACTGTGAATCAGAAATTAAGTTGTATTTTTTCAAAAATTTCAATATTCTATGTTTCATAGATTTTTCCTAGATTTGATAATACTTATAGCCACCTTCAAATAGGGGAGCAACTACAGCAGTTTCAAATAGTTTCGGCAAATGGTTTTTTTTATACCTTTTTTTTGATAATCTTCCTAATTTCTTGTTTGGAAGTAAAACCCAAATGTATGTACAGGGTGATCCAGTATAAAGTGAACACCCCCTACCTTTTCGCAAAAAAATTTTTTTTTGAAAAAATCAAGATAGCCATTTGGTGTATTTTGTTTCTAGGTGTTTGAGAACGTTTTTCGAAATTTAATTAGATTTTTCGTTAAAGCGCTGTGACCAAAAAAGTAATTTTTTTAAATGGAATAACCTATATTTAAATCAATTTTTTAAACGTCCCTATTTTTCTCATTTCATATATATAGTTTGTTTATCTTTATTTTAAACATTTACTATATATTCTCACTTCAAAATTCACATAAAAATAGCCGCAAAGGTATCATGAAACATAATCACCAGCAGCTTTATTAAAGGTAAAATGATTTAAATTTACCTTGATACCTTTTTCGGCTATTTTTATTCGACTTTTGAAGTGAGAATATATCGTAAATCTTAAAAATAAAGATAAACAAGCTATATATTTGAAATGAGAAAAATAGGGACGTTTAAAAAATTGATTTAAATATAGGTTATTCCATTTAAAAAAATTACTTTTTTGGTCACAGCGTTTTAACGAAAAATCTAATTAAATTTTGAAAAACGTTCTCAAACACCTAGAAACAAAATATATCAAATGGCTATCTTGATTTTTTGGAAAAAAAATTTTTTAGCGAAAAGGTAGGGGGTGGATCACCCTGTACATGCTGTTCCCCAGTTCAGACTCAGAGTCAACAAAATTTACTTGTTTTGTGATATTATTGACAAATTTTTCGCCTAGAGGGCAGAGAGTTGATTGAATGTATTTACAATTTCCTTTTTATCTAATATTCTAACATTTAATTTTTTGTATCGATGATGATGGAGATGTTCCAATGAGTTGTTTTTAAAAATAGATAAATCAATTATTAGTGTTTCACACCTTCATTTGGTCGCTGTCATTACGAAGTTTCCAATCTCTGATTTAACAACTTTTCAGGAGAGCGTTTTGAAGAAAACTTTACTGTTCATTTTGTCCGAGATTTTGTCTGTAGCACTGGATATAATTCGGTATCAAAACTTGTTTTTTTCATATACATATAACACAAAAGTATACTTAGAACATTGAGACGTATCTTTTTTGAAAGAAAAGATTGGACTTTTTCTGTAAATAAATTATTAGGAAGATAGGCCCGTTCGTAATAACAGAAATAAATGTTTGGCTTTTTGACAAAGCAGATATGCCGTCAAAATTGAATAATGGCCACACGGTGTATTATTAGTCTAAGAGCCAGCGCCGAAAAAATTCTCTGAATTTACTAAAGCTAGTTTTTGGACAGTTGATTACAGTATTTACGTACATAAACATACCGCGGTCAGTCAAGCGAAACTTGGGACAAGGACCCAGGGTGTCTTATTAAAGGTGTCGAGATAACTTGGGTAATGCAACGAATTTACTAGTGGAGTCCCTTAATGGGAGAAACGAGACAGTGGCGATGTATTTGGATTTGTCTAAAGCTTTTGACAGTGTTAATCATGATGTGCTGCTAGCAAAACTAGAAAGGTATGGATTGAGGGGCGTTCCTTTACAACTAATATCATCTTATCTATTTGATAGAAAGCAGCAGATTATTGAAAGACACAATGGGGAAACATTAACATCAATTTCTAGCCAGGTCAAAAAAGGTGTACCTCAGGGATCAATCCTTGGACCACTGCTGTACATTATCTATACTAACGAGCTTGCAAATATAACTGATCAGTTTACGGTCCAGTTTGCGGATGACACTTCAGTAGTCTTTTCAGCAGAACGAATGGAGGAATTGAGTAACAAAATTCACACAACTTTGAGTTCCTTTCAGGGTTGGTTTGACTCAAATAACCTGGTTTTGAATGTCGAGAAGACACAGCTACTACGTTTCTCATATCAACGGGATTGGTCTCCCACTCAGTTTGTTTGCGGTGATGGTATACCTTTGAACACTACAAGATCGGCCAATTTCCTGGGGGTCAAAGTGGATTCACGGTTGGACTGGAGTGACCATATTGACTGCCTGGCTGGCCAAATATCAAGGCACTGCTATGCCCTGAGGGTGCTGGCACGTGAGGTAAATTATGAGGTTGCATTAACTGCTTACCATGCTTACATTCAATCAAGATTGAGGTATGGAGTTGTATTCTGGGGTAATAGTCCCGAAGTCTCTCGAGTTTTTATTGCACAAAAAAGATGTATAAGAGCAATATTTGCTATGTACCAGACAGATAGCTGTAAACCCATATTTAGGGCTCACAACATATTAACATTACCAAGTCAATATATCCTGGAAGCAGCATTGTTTGTTAAGCAAAATCCTGACCTTTTTCTTGAGCACATTAGGGGGCATTGCTATGATACAAGGGGAAGGACTGATCTTGTCAATGTGAGAAGCAATTTTACTTACATACAAAAAAACGTTCAATTTTCAATTATAAAAATTTTCAACAAGCTACCTTCAAATTGGCAAAGCTTGCAATTCGATAACCTTAAACATAAGTTGAAAAACCACTTACTTCAGAGGGCTTACTACTCGGTGGAGGAATTGTATGAGGACAATTTGAACAACGAAAATTGAAATGAGGTTCAAACCAATATATGTATTCTGATGCTCAGTATTGTATTTTATAGTGTATTTTCATGTTGTATTTTATTTTATATTGTATTTTTATATTCTTATATTTTATATTTTAATGTGTAGTATTGTATAAATGTTGTTTTTTCTTTTTTTTCTTAAATGTGCTCGTGACTTAACTTGTTTATGATTTTAAACTCAAAACAGTCAATTCAATTTATATTTGGCTTGTAATGTTGGATTAGGGTATTTTTAAATTGACATGTTCTATGTCCGAAAGGGCTTTTGTGATAATTTTCTTTATATTTACAATTATGGAACAAATAAATGCTATGAAATGAAATGAAATAAAGCTGAAAATCGTAATACATATTATATATAACATATAAATAACAGTAGTGTTACGGCCGTATTCACCAACGACCACTAACTGCTTATCAGTCTGATAAACTGCTTGTCAGACTGGTAACGTAAAATTTGGTATTCACCAACCTTGAGTAGTAGATATCAGTCTGATAAAGTTGTCAGGCGAAATTTGAGCTGTTAAGGAAGTTATCTGTCTGATAAGTGTTATTGTTATTGTTTTTTTTTCAAAAAAAAATCGAATTTATCCATAAATTGGAAAGAATGGATGGTTCGTTAAATTTTTATTTGTGGTAGGTAGGTACTTTATAAGTTTTTATTTTTTTGCAAAATGAACAGAATGGATGAAATTGACCTGAATTTTTTTGGAGGTTCGTTGGATGATCCATATATCAGATGAAGATCTTCCCAGGCCTAGAAATATGAGGAC